CATGAAATAGCTCCCCCTTTGCGAGAGTGAATACATATCCTTTCTGAATTTTCTATCATCTCTCGCATAATTAGAATATGAATATCCCACTATGTGGAGTGAATCAGATCTTCTATATGTCATCATGAGGCCTTTCGTTCCTTGCAAATAATGCAAGACTTTCTTTACTAATTTTAGTGCTCTGTTCTAGAATTGCTCTGGAATCTGCCAAGTAACCTGGTAACAAATGCCAAGTCAGGGCGCGTACATACTTGAGCATATTACAAGCTTTCGACAGCTGAAGCATATGGAACCACTTTCATTTGATTAAGCTCATATTGGTTCCTGGGGCATTGAAAATCCCCATATCTGTCGCCCTTGACTATAGGAGCAGGTGAGGGACTACATTTGTCCATATTGAATTTCTTTAAGATTCTTTCTATGTATGCCTTTTGTGACAGTCCTAATACCCCTTTTCTTCTATCTCGGTGAATCTCGATCCCTAGAACGAATAAGACTTCACCAAGATCTTTCATATCAAGTTTTGAAGACAAAACTTCTTTGTCTCCTATAGTAAACTGACATCACTACTAGCAAGTAAGATATCATCCACATACAGGACAAGGAAGATAAACTTTCCTTTCTTAAACTTTGTATAAACACAATTGTCCTCTACATTTTCTTTAAACCCAAATTCTTTATTGTCTGATCAAACTTCAAGTACCATTGTCTTGAAGCTTGTTTTAATCTATAAATGAATTTCTTTAGGTTGCATCCCATTCGTTCTTTTCCTTCCATGACAAAACCTTTCGGTTGTGCCACGTAAACATTTCCCTCCAAGTTTCCATTGATAAATGTCGTCTTTACATCCATCTGATGTAATTCTAAATCGTAATGTGTCATTAATGCCATTATGATTCTGAAGGAAACCTTACATGAGACTGGAGAAAAGTTCTTATTGTAATCAATCCCTTCTCTTTGCGTAAAGCCTTTTGCCACAAGTCTCACTTTATATCTCTCTATATTCCCTTGAGAGTCAAGTTTTGTTCTGTAGACCCATTTATAGCCTACTGTTTTGGCTCCTTTAGAAATTATTTCCAAATCCCAAATTTTATTGGCATTCATTGATTTCATTTCAGCTTCCATGGTCTCAAGCCACTTTAATGAATGATCACTTCTCATGGCTTCTTCAAATGAGGTGGGATCATCCTCCATTTGAAATTCCTCAGTGTTGTACACTTCATAATCAGGAGGAATAGCTGATTTTCTAACTCTTTGAGACTTCATAATCAGGAGAAATAGCTGATTTTCTAACTCTTTGAGACCTTCTAGGGGCCTTCACATTTGGCACATCTTCTGTTTGAGGCAGTTGTTGCTCCCCCTCATGTGTGGCAATAGGTTCTATAGGATCCTGAAGAACAGGTTCCTCATTGTCATTCATTGTTGCCACAGGTGGGATAACAACAGTCTTGGCACCACAAGATCTCAGCAATCGTCGGTGCAAATGACAAAGTGTGGTGAGAAAAATGGCTCATGAATCATTGGAGTGGGCACATACACCCGCTTCACTTCAAGGTTAATTTCTCGAGCTACCATGCTCCCCCTCATCAATTCATCCTCTAGGAAGACAGCGTGTCTCGTTTCCATAAACTTTGTATGTCTCTCTGGACAGTAGAAAACAAAAACCTTTTTGACTTTTCTGGGTAGCCAAACAAATGGCAACTTACTGTTTTAGGATCTAACTTCACAATGTTTGGGTTAAATACTTTAGCCTCAAGAGGCTCCCCCACACACGCAAGTGGTTTAGTGAGGGTACTCTTTCTGTCCACAACTCATACAGTGTTTTGGGCACTGACTTACTTGGTACTCTATTGAGAATATGAATGGCGGTTTTTAATGCCTCCATCCACAGGCTCATCTGTAAGGTGGAGTAACTTATCATACTGCGCACCATATTCATTCATTGTACGATTGCATCTTTCAGCTACTCCTTCTGCTGAGGTTTGCCCGGTATAGAATACTGTGCTACTTTGTCATTCTCCTGTAAGGACCTTACATAAGGTCCAGGAACTTTGGCCATATGGGGTATGCCGACCATAGTACTCCCCCATGGTCAAACCTGACTATCTTTATATTTAAATTGCGTTGGATTTCAACTTTTGTCTTAAACATCTACATTTATCTAATGCTTTTGTTCTTTCTTTTATTGGATAAATGTGGACATAACGGGAGTAATTATCTATGAATGTTATGAACGAATCATTACCATCCACACTCTTTGCAGGAAACTGACCACAGATGTCTGTGTGAATAATCTATAAAATTCCTGCGCTTCGTTTGTCATCTTTCTTAATTCTCTTTACACACTTTCCTTTTATGCATTCTCTGCATTGTTCTAAATCTGAGAGCTCTAATAGAGGAAGAATATCATTCTTAACTTGTCTTTCTATTCTCCCCCTCGAAATATGGCCTAAATGACAGTGCCATAATTTCGACGATGCATCGTGAGCCCTCTTATGCCACCATTTCTAGATTAACACTCTGTGACCAGCCGCTTTATCAGCTAAGTGGCATATGTCTTTGAAGAGCCAATGAACTGACTCTTTATTCTATCGAGGTACTCGATGACCATGTCACACTCTGGGATTGAGCCCATAATTCCAGGTTCAATCATGTTCTTTATCATATCCAAACATTTTTTGTTGACAGTGACCCACTTCCTATGCTCAAAAGTCATAGGACATCATTTGGGATTCAAAATCCCTTTCTTTAGTTGCCTAATCGGCATCATTCTCTTTTGTCTCCCTCACCGGTACCACAGACTTAGTGGGACACGGTGAGGTGACTACCCAGTCCACCTCAGCCAAGATGAAAATCAGGTCAAACCTTTTCTTAACATAAAAATAACACCATTTGCATGCCTTGATTCCAACGTTGGTCAAAATCAAAACATACAATTATTCTTATACACAAATTCTACATCACCGTTGGGCAGAAATAGAATTAACGCATAAATCATTAACTTTCACAACTATTCTTACACACTAATTCTACATCACCGTTGGGCAGAAATAGAATTAATGCATAAATCATTAAAATTTACAACTGTTCTTATACACTAATTCTATATCACCGTTGGGCAGAAGTAGAATCAATGCATAAATCATTAAAATTATGATATTGTTATTAACAACGTTGGTCAGAAAATAACAATATTATAATCATGTCAAATCTCTTTTCTCCAATTAAATACCACATTGGTTCAAATAACTGGAGAATAAATATTTTCTTTAGCAGCGGAAAAACTTTCTTTTTCTCTAATTAAATACCACGTTGGTACAAATTAACTGGAGAATAAATAATTTCTTTAGCAGCGAAATAACTTTTACTCAATTTCTTGAATTTTACCCACAGGGAAAAAATTACTTTTTCTATTTTTCTTTTCAGCCAATTTGCATTTTCAATTTTCCAGGAAAAAGAAAAATGCAAAACGGGCTCATTCTTTACTCTCGGCCCAAAAACCGGCAAAAGGCCGGCTCGGCCCATTGCCTCATGCACAAGGCCGTCCGCACCTGCATCGCACTTTGGGCTCTGGCCAAGCAAAAGCTGGCCGGTCGGCTTCGGCACTTTGGGGCCATGAAGTCAGCCCGAGCATCCGTGGCCGTTGGATTCATCGGACGGCTGCGCGACGTCTTCGGGCGAACAAAACCACCCCCGGCCGCGTCCTCCCGAACCCTAGAGGCCATTCGCTCCTCCCTCTTCTCTCTCTACTCTCTCACCGCGCAGGCGGCTCCCATCGCAGCGAGCAGCATCGGCGACCGAGCAAAAGCAGCGAGCGAGCGGGCGGGCATCCATGGCACCACCGCCGGCCCCCTCGCCGGCGTGTGTGCTCCCCAGTGGGTGAGCGCGCCGTTGTCGAGCGGCCTGGCCGAGGTGACCCCTTGGCCGAGCCCGGCGAAAAACCTTCCCGGCTCGGTCTTCTTCTCCCTCGCCGGCAAAACGGTTCGCCCGGTGCACGGCGAGGTCTCTTTCCATTCCCTCTTCCCTTTCTCCATTCCCATCCCCTTTTTCTTTTTGATTTGGATTGTTCTTCTCTTTTCCGAACCAGTGGATGGGAATAGGGTTTAGATCTAGGGTTAGGGTTCAGAATCCGACCTACCCCTTTTTCCCTTTCTCTGATTTGAGTTTTCTTTCTCTTATCTGAACTGATGTGGCGAATTAGGGTATGGATCTAGGGTTCCTGTTCTTCTTCCCCTTCGGATTTGAGCGGGTCTAGGCCGAATCCCTCTTCTTTCTTTGTTTTTCTTTTGGTGCTCGGATTGAACCGATTTAGGTTTCTTTTCATTTCATTTCTTTTCGGGGTTCATCCGAATCCTCTCGTGGGTTAGGGTTCGAGTGCTGAGAGCTTGCCGAGGGCCCTTCCTTTTCTTCTTCCCCGAGCTGTTTGCGCGGGTTAGTTCATCCGAAACAGGTTCACTGTTCTTCCCCTTCACCCAGTTAGGGTTAGGGTTGGGGAACTTTTCTTTTCTTAGATCCGAATCGATCTGTTGCATTCTTGCCGTGGCGCCGTGAGAGAACGGGCGTCATCATCCATCCCTGCTGGTGGCGGTGGTGGTGACCGGTAGGCAGTGACGTCCGCCACCCCGGTCTCTCTTTCTGTTTGCTTTTACCCGATTAGGGTTAGGGTTAGGGTTACACAGTGGCAACCTGGCTCTGATACCATTGTTAGGTTCGTGGGTATACCTTTGTGTAACCGTAGATCGGAGTAGACCTCTTTAGGGTTCATCTATTTAGGGTTAGGGTTACACAGTGGCAACCTGGCTCTGATACCATTGTTAGGTTCGTGGGTATACCTTTGTGTAACCGTAGATCGGAGTAGAACTCTTTAGGGTTCATCTATTTCGCCCTGGTTGCTCTAGAAAGGGTTCAATAATTTGTACATGGCAGTATAAGGTTCAAGTGAATAACAGTACAAGATGTAATAAAGTAAAGAAGTCTAAATCATCACATAGTCACTACTGCTACCGCCTGTGTAGGGGAACAAGGTTTTCGGTGTGGTCATCATATACCAACCGTGCTATGAGGAAGCATGCAAGCAATGAAAGAGCAGCAAGTCCACCAAAAATGACACCGAAAACAACTGCCAAGAGGGTCTTCTTGTGCCTCCTTTTCATTGAGGCTGAAGGTGCTTCTAATGAGCCACAATGGACGCTGAGCATAGGACCACATAGCTTGGAATTCCCAATGTAGCTAGTATTTGTGAAGGTATTGAACTGTCCTCCAGTTGGAACTGGCCCTTCTAGGTCGTTGTTAGACACATTGAACCCAGAAAGGAAGTGAGGATTACGCAATGCGGATGGGAGTTCACCTGTGAGCTGGTTATTTGACAAGTCTAGCGTTTGCAGGTTTGTGAGGTTGCAAATTTGTGGTGGTATTTCTCCAGATAAGCTGTTGGTGCTAAAGTTGAGGACATTGAGCATTTTCAACTGACCAATCCCTTGGGGAATTATGCCTGTCAAGCTATTGTTGCATAGATTCAATACATTGGGGAAAGCATTGAGCCAACGGTATTGACGTGATTGTGTCCAAAATACAGGTAACTCAAGGAACTTCGGGTCCAACTTGGCAGCATTCTTCTCAGATTGTAGCATTGGCATCCCCATCAATTCAGTTGGGATATTCCCTGTAAGCCTGTTGCTTGATATGTCCAGAAAGAAGAGGAGTGGGAGCCTGTTAATCCAGGATGGTATTGTTCCAGTAAGGTGATTGTATGATAGATCTAATATCTCCAATTTTGTGAGTTTTGATAACCAAAGAGGAATTTACCCAACCAATGGGCATGTGTCTATGGTTAGGATCCGAAGATTCTCAAAACCTTCAATTGCTTCATTCTGCGGTATGGTTTCACCTTTGAAGTTGGTTCCCATAACTAGGGTGGTGAGGTTCTTGCACCACTTGAGACTCCGTATCACATCTGTGATATTTGTAAATGAATTACTGGTAACTGAAAGGAAGGAAAGGGATCTGAGATTGGCTATTCTTGGTGAGAACTGGCCAAGAAAGTTGTAAGCCAACCGCAAAGCAATTAGATTGCTGCATGCATATATGCTTTCAGGAATTGTTCCATTGAATTTGTTCAGTGAAAAATCTGCAGTCCTCAGATCCATCTGGGTGAAGTTAACTCTGCTAAGATCTCCCATAAAACTATTGTTTCTGAGGGTGATATAATTGAGACTTCTGCAGTTACTTAGGGTCGATGGCAGCTCTTCGATCATCAGGTTGTTGTCTAAGTGGAGCTCCTCCAATCTTCCCAGCTGCCCAATAGAATCTGGCATCTCTCCTTCGAGCCCATTTGATCCAAGGTCAAGGAAAATCAGATTACTGAGTTTGACTACGCTGGAACCATCAAGTGCCCCTTGCAAATTATTGTTTGGAAAAGCAAGGTGCTCCAATGAGGTAGCATTAAACAGTCCATTGGGTAGACCTCCAGTAAGGTTGTTGTGGCCAGCCTTGAGTACTGTCAACTTGGAGCAATTGCCAAACTCTGGGGAAATAGTGCCACTGAAGTCATTTAAGCAAAGGTTAAGCATGGCAAGTGATGGGGCGTTGATACAAATAGAAGATGGCAATGGTCCCAGTAAAGTCATTGTTGCTTGCATTAAGAGCGACAAGATTGTTCATGACTTGCAAAGTGTTGTGGATGGTAACTGTCCCCGTAAAGAAGTTACTTGAGATATTCAATACCTTGAGAGGAAGGCCGAAATTGGGGATTGATGCTCTTGCAGAGGACCAGATAGGTGGTTGAAGCTGACATCCAGGATGCTGCTGCTGCTTTGGAGAACACCAATTCTGCTGGCAGACTGCCGTAGACTGAATTGCATGACAGGTTGAGGTGCAGCAGCCCTGTAAGATTGCTGAAAGATGTTGGGATCCTCCCTTTGAGGCCTTTAGAAGGCAGCAAGACTTCCAGTGACTGCTCCATCGATGCTGCAGGTTATTCCTTCCCATCGGCAGCAGTCTGTGCTGTTGGTGTAACAACCAAAAAATCTACACATCAAAAATCACAACTACAATTTTTTTTAAAACCCCATGTGATGATGAGTGACATTATAGGAGCCAAACCCTAAGTGTCATTAGAAGTAACCCAACTAGACAATTTCATGAGCATGACATGTCATTTATTATCATGTTTATTTAAATACTGACAAATGAAACATAGCATACATTGTCAACTCAAATAGTGATTTGGATTTTTCATTTGTTTTATGTAATGTCTAACAACACCTTTAAAGAAATACACCATAAAGTAATTAATACTCGACCAAAGAATAAATGTTTAAAGATAAAACTATTTCCATTTTTGCATAACAAAACTACACCTAATTTTTGTTATACAAAATAGCTAAATAAATTTCTAATATACACATATAAAAGAATGTTGTGGGCCTCATATCTAAAAATTCCAATGAATAAGGTCCACCAATTTGGAATTCAAATTTCAAACCAAATTTGAATTCAAACAAAGGAGAAGAAAAATAAAACAGAAAAAGGAAAAGAAGGAAAGAAGGCCCATAGCAAGCTCGGCTCGCTTTCGGCCCGCCAACAGCAATGAGCGAGCCCGCCCAACTCAACTCAAGCTAGCCTAGCTTGCGGCCTAGGCGCGCCGCCCACGCCAGCCTCCCCCTCCCCTTCTTTGCCACGCCCACCTGGACCCCACCATCGACTTTCTGTTCATCTTCTCCACGCCCGCCTCAATCGCCTGCTGATTGTTGAGGTCGACAGTGTGACGGCGAGGAGGCGCAGGGGTCACGCCCGAGGCATGACCTTGTTCCCCTTGCGCTGCGCTCACGCAACCTCGCGCCACCGTCGGATGCATCCCACGCCTTTCCACCGCACGATGTCGGTCGCCATTGGAGGCATGGTGCTCGGCTATAAAGACATGCCCGGAGCCTTAGCCCCTCCCTCAGCCACCGCCGCCGCTTGGTGGCCCAGCAGCCCGCACCACACCGAGAGAAGAGAGCCGAGAAGGAGTTCGGGAGGGGAGGAACGGAGCCACCCACGTGCTGCCGAAGTCGTCGGAGCCGAGGACGACGCCGTCGTCTTCATCACGGTCGCAGGTCGGTACTGCACTGCCTCTGTCTTCACGACCACGACCCTCCACTGCACCGCCATCCGATCGCCTTCGACACCAACGGTGAGCCCTAGCTGCTAAGACCCCTCCTAGCCCCTGGACGCCGTAGCAGAGCACGCACACGCCGCGCTCTCGACGCCGCCATCATGGCGCGGCCACCGCTTGTGCACCCGGCCGCCTCACCGGACTAGGACACCACTGTAGCACCACCAGGACGCCCGGAGGGTAGCCGTGTAGCCCGAGACCCTGATAGCCGATCACAGCACCCCGGCCACGAGCACCGAACCTCGGCCGGAGCTCCGCCGTGCACCATCACCGCGCGCGTACTCCGCCACGTCTTTTGGTCGCCGTCGTCACTTGTCCCGGTCGCCCGCTGGCCATATGAAAGGGAACGGGGCACCAAGACCCTTGGAACGGCCCCTAGCTGCCCCGTCGGTGAGCACCGCCACGACCAAGCCACCGACTGCCGTGGCCAACGCCCTAGAGAGCCCTGGCCGCCACCTAGACACCACCATCGTGTTCGCCATGGCCTGGGGAAGCTTTCCCCCACCTTAATTGGATGCCAGCGCCGCCGTAGAATCACGCCGGCGAGCATATCACCGACGGGAGCACACCAGGGACAAAAGCAGAGGCCTCCTCTCGCCGACCGCACGCGCCTACTCTCGGTGCACGTGAGCCAAGCCAAAAGGCAAAGAGGGTGGACTCGGTCCATCGTAGACCTGCCAACGGTCCATGGACCGTGAACCTGAGTCCACCGTGAGCCACACAGTGCGGGCAGCACGGTAGACGAAGCCCAGTGGGAGCCCATGGCTACGACGTGGCAGCGCCACAGCTTGCCACGTGTCCGGATCGGCCCGGCCCAAATCCAGCCCATATCTAGGCCCAACTGGCCCAGTTTGGACCCGGTCCGTGTTGACCGTTGACCGGTCAACGTTGACTGTTGACCTGGCCCCACATGTCAGTGGCACAGACACTCTGGACCCACATGTCAGATGATGACGTCATGCTGACGTCACGCGGGACCCACACGTCAGAACCCAACCAGGGTCACCTGATCGAGGCACTCAGGCAGAATGAGTACCTATAGGACAAGTGTGAGAGGACTTGGCAGGCTTGGCAGAAGTCTGACAAGAAGCGCCTCAGGGAGATGAAGGGTATGTGGGATCAGCTACCCAAGGAGATTCGCAGCAAGACGAAGCCTAGGATAGAGGAGTTTGAGTTAACCCCGACTCGCCTCAACCTAGACGCCTGCCCTACCCTACCTGGAGCCAAGACTACTGAGGAGCTCGCCGAGGCCTTGAAGTACGTGTCCCGACTTCACAAGTCTGACGATGAGATCGAGAACAGTCGTATCCTAGCTGCGGTGTACGAGTTAGAGTAGATGGCCCAGCGTGGTCACGAGTCATGTCAGTGGCTTCCATAAGTTGTACCCCATGATGTACCCCTTATGAGATGTATTATGAGACACTATGCGTAGTACGATTCTCGCACATCTTCAAGTGTAGCTACTGGAGATGATGCCATGTAATAAAACCCATGTAATGAATGTTTTGGATCTTATTGCATCTTATGGATCTTATTGCTTCTTTGTAATGAGTGTTGGATACTATAAATGTTTTTCTCTAAATCATCAAAATCGTGTAATCATATTGAATTATAAGCACTTATGGCACGAGCACTAAAATTCCTATGATCCGTATTGTAGATGCCGAACCGCCGATCTGCTCGCCTAATGAACCGTGGACGTGTGCCCACCCCCGAACCAGTCGAACCAAATGGGGGCCGTGGTGGCAACAACCGTGGCCGTGGCCATGGCCATGGACGTGGAGGGATACCCTTCAACCTGGAGAATACCCCGCCGCCTGCCGAGGAGAACATTCCGCCACCACCACCACCGAACCTAGCAGAAGTGATGGCGCAGCAGACCCAACTTCTTGCAACCCTTGTTGACAGAGCAAACCGTCGCCAGGGAGGTCAGCAGAATGACTTTCAAAGGAAGTTGGAAAGATTTCTGAAGCTAAGGCCACCTACCTATGATGGCACCGACCCTGACCCGCTTGTGGCCGATGACTGGCTCAAGGAGATGGAGAACAAGCTTGATCTCACCACTTTCACCGATGATGAGTGTGTTGGAGTTGCCACACACCAGCTCACAGGTGCAGCACGCGCCTGGTGGGACAGTTTTAGTGATTCCCATGAGGACCCTGCCAACATCTCGTGGAATGAGTTCGCCGAAGCATTCACTGAGCATCACATTCCCAAGGGTATCATGGAGGCCAAAGCTGAGGAGTTCCGCAACATCAAGATGGGAAAGGACAAGGTGACTGAGTACACCACTTGTTTCACCAACCTTCTGCGCTATGCCCCTTCCTATATTGTGAACTCTGAGAAGGAGAAGTTGTACTATTACCGCAACGGACTTAACCCGCACATCAAGCTAAAGTTTGGCGGTATTGAGAGTAGCACACTGCGTGCTCTGGTGGATCGCTGCATCCAGATTGAGAAGGACCGTGCTGAAGCTGGAGAGGAGTACAGGGAAAGGAAGCGTAAGCCTGAGGAGTCCTTCCGTTGACATGATCGCAAGAGGTTCCGCAGAGATGCACCATCCAGGGAGCGCTCTCACCACAACAGGGATGACAACCCTGGATCGAGTAGGGGTAGTGGAGGCTACACCACCAAATACTCCCGCCCTGCTCAGGATCGTTACACCCGGGACCGTTATGCTCAGGACTGCAACATTCAGGATCGTTTCAACCGTTCCCGCTCTATGAATGAACGCCCAGCACAGAACCGCTCCGCACCAAGCACTGGAAACTGGAAGGCACCCGCACTAACCCCTACAAGCGGTGCGCCTTTCACCTGCTTCACTTGTGGCCAACCGGGTCACAAAGCCGCTGAATGCCCTCAGAACTCAGCTACTCAAAAGTCTCAGTTCAAGGGATCTGCTACCCGTGGACGTCTCAACCATCTGGACGCCGAGGAAGCACAGGCTGCCCCTGACATTGTGTATGGTATGTTTTTAGTTAATGGCAATACTACAGCAGTTCTATTTGACTCTGGAGCAACTTGTTCTTACATATCATCCAAGTTTGCACGAGAGCATGACCTGCCTGTAACCCCACGTGAAAAGCATATCATCACCAGCTCACCTTTAGGAGACCTAAAATGCACCAACATCTGTAAGGGGGTGAGTCTTACCATTGAGGGTCTTATCTTTAAAGCCGACCTAACCCTATTACCTTCCATTAACCTAGATGTCATCTTAGGCATGGATTGGTTAACCATTCACCGAGGTATCATATCATGTTCACCTAGATACGTCCAAGTGACCCACCCATCAGGCCAAGTCATTAGATGTGAACCCCAGTCCGGAAAATCCACCTCTATCCTATGTGCCCTTAAAGCAAGTTCAAAATCACAAAAAGAGGAGAAGACAATTCATGATGTGCCTGTGGTCAGAGACTATCCCGATGTATTTCCTGAAGAATTACTGGGTATGCCACCAGACCGTGATGTAGAGTTCATCATAGATCTTTTGCCGGGAACAGGACCCATTGCCAAGAGACCCTATCGCATGTCAGTTGATGAATTGACCGAGCTCAAGAAACAGCTTGATGAGCTCATCTCAAAGGGATATATCAAATCCAGTGCTTCACCGTAGGGATTCCCTATTCTGTTTGTTAAGAAAAAGGATGGCTCAATGAGAATGTGCATTGATTACTAGAACTTGAACGTAGTCACCATCAAGAA